AGCCAAGTCAATATTTTTTTACAATCTTGTATATGATCAGCAATATACTTGCGACACCCCTTTTTATCTAAAGTTTCATCCTTGTCTTCTTTTTTGCACCCCTTTATAGAAACATCATCTAAAAAAGGCATAATCTTCTCTTGAATAAAATCTCTCAATACCTTATTTATCCCGTTCATCATTTGCATAACTGACTTAGTTGCACCTTGAGGAAGAGTACACATTCTAACTAATCCAAGTGGTGTTCTTATCGTTATCATATCTCTACTTCCTTCTGTAAGTTTAAATTGATCATAGCCCGAATATAAATCACCCATTGAATAAATTGCCCTTTCAGCAAACGCCTCAGTAAATTCATCTATTATAGGCCCAATTCCTGCATTCCTGATAGTTACTGCATTCATTGGTTGCATATCTTGAATAAAACATAATGATCCATTTTTCTTAAGCACTGTAAACCATCGACTAAAATATGGTACAAAAGAGAGCTCCAAAATCTTCATCTTTATCTTTTCTTTTAATAATTCCACTAAACTTGGTAAATATGTCCTTAGTATTAGAATTGGCTTTAGATTTCAAGGTACATGTGGTACAGTGAAAATAACCATAGGTGTTACAATATTTGGATCTACACACCTAATTTCCTAAGATTCAAAGGCAAATGATCTACATTGTTTTGCCAACATCTCTTTGAAGCAGGTAATTTCCTTTGACAATAAAGAACCATCAGAACCAATCTTCAATTCATCAAAAGTCTCTTTAGTAAACTTGTGACCAATATTCTTTAGATCTCTCAAGCTCATTTCTCTTGATGCTTCTCCCATTTGTTCTTTAGAATCTTTTGGCAAAGGTTCGGCAATCGGTTTAACTTTCTTATCTACTATCTTATATTTTGTCTCAACTATAACCTCCAGTGCTTAAAAAGATTCAATCATATCATAAACTTCTCTTGAATGAATTGGTATAATTTTATCATCATTACCTAATTCAATAGACGTAATCAATTCCAAAAGATCCTCTAGTCCATTTTCTTCATAAATACCAATAATCTTTCCATTAACTTCTAATATTTCTAACCTATATAATTCTCTTTCAATAGTACTTAATTTCTTTCTTTTTTTTCTTTTTAAGTCATCAATCTTCTTATATATAATACTTCCATTTTTAAAAATGCTAATAAATCCTCCATTAAAGGCACCTACATCTTGCAAGAGTACCTCTTTTTTTGTACCTCTATAATCTCGCTTTATAGTGGTACCCCCAAAAAAATCCTTGAATTCTTCAATAATCCTTGGCAATGGATTTTCTCTCAATTTGTCTTGATTCTGCTCATGATTTGGAGGCATAGACAAAAATTGTATTATCCTCCTCCCATCCTCACTACAAATTTGTACATAAGCTGAACCATCATCAAGTACCTTTATTTCCATCTGAATTGCAATAATATATGGTTGTTCCAAAATAAGAAGATAAGATGTTGCATCTTGAACAAAAAATTTTTTCTCCCTTGCAACATCACCAATCCAAATTTTCACATTTGGGCAAGCATCATATAACTCCCTACGAGTATTATTGGCTGTCTATATTGCCCTCCCATGCTCTATATCAATTGACCACCTTTGCTTCACATAAAGGTCTTTAGACATAAGATTTATCTTTGAACCATAGTCAATCAAAGCAACAACCGGTTCATCTATATCTACAATCTTCACTAATGCCTCTATAGTTGCTATAGCCCAATGCTTTCGAGTATAATGACTTGAAACCTCTCTAATTTTATTACCTTGATCATCAAAACGTACCCTTTGATTATGACTCCTCGCTTCACTTGTTGATTGTTTGTAACAATTATCGAATACATCTTCTTTACCTTCGTCTATGTATGCATCAATAGCAAGATTTAATCCAGCTTCTCTCATTAATTGCCTCTTTCATTTAATACTGTCAATAATGATATCATGGAATTCTTTCTTGACAATTCTTAAAATTTCTTTCAATGTAAACTCAACCTTAGGATTGAGCACACGTTCCTCAAGCACTCTCTTTAAATCTATTGTTCCTTCAATATTAAAGAGTAGTTTATAAGTTGTCAATTTACCTTTAACTTTCATCTTCTTTACTTTTTCTTCCAATATTGTTGAAGTATCCTTTGTGGGCAATTCTTATGAAGCTGATGCACAAGCCTTATCTCCTCAAGTTTGCCTTTTAGAAGAATTTCCTTCTCTTGAATCATCAAAATTTCTTCTCCTCTTTTCTTCCATTAAAGCTTCATGTTGGCTTTTAGCAATATATGCATGTACTGACAAAGCTTCTACATGATCCTCTCAACCTGTAGCACCATGAATTATTGCAACAAATCTCAATAAAGCTTCTTTTTTTTTGTATCGTAGAAATAGCAAAAGACCAAAGTCCATTTGGTTGAACATTTCCAATAAAATTTTGTCTGTCATCATTATCCATCTTAGTTCCATAATTTGCACCTTCTATTGCTGCAATTCCATGTGTTGTCAAATAATCTTTAACCAATGCTTTCATACCTCCTTTACCAAAGTTGGTTTGGAGAAGATCACCAGTATCTTTCAATGTAACCTTTCCATCTTTCCAAAAAACAATGCCTTATTGAACCATCTCATTAAATTTACCACAATCTTTTCAAGAATGAGAATCATCATCACATCAAATACATCTTTGCACATACTCTTGTTTAAAAGTAGCCTTTGAACTTATTATAGAAGTCTTTTTTTTAAGCCTTATAAGTTTGATTTGAAGATCTCCCATCCCTCGTACAATCTCCTCAAGTCCAATATCTTCTTTTTTTGATGTAGCTAATGGAGGTTGGACAATAGGCACAATCAATCTTGTAGTAGGCATTGGAATCTTTGGTACTTGTACCACTCTTCGAGTATTAAACCTATCCTTTCTCCTTTCTTTCTTTGCAAGTAGTCTAATAGTGTCTTCAATAACTCTCCACTTTGTTGTCAATCCTTCTTCTTCTTCTTCTTCTTCTTTATCTTCAAGATGAACCTCTAACTTTTCTTATAATTCTTCATTAGCAACTTGAAGAAAAAATTCAACCTTGTTTGATCCCAATGTTAATTTTTCTATTTTCGATAATCGAAAAAATTACCTTTCAAATTCTCTTAATAATTCTGTAGCTTGCAAATTTTTGTTAGGTCACTCAATCTATTCCAAGAATGATTTCTTGGTAACTCGATCAATATCCTCCAAAAAATACTCATCCTTCAGTGCATGTGAAAATACTTCTTATGAACTTCTAAATTATCCCATAATAGACCTTATATGCTCTCTTATCTCTAATATCATAGCAAGCTCAAATAATTGAATCATCTCCTTCTCAGAAACGCGATTCAATTCCATTTCCCACACATAACATCTTAAATATTTGAAAATATCCCTCCCATCAAATTGATCAACCTTGTTAACCATTGCTTGTAATGCTTTGATTGCCAAAACCTCTTTGTAATCATTGTCTTGTTACTATTGCATAAATAATGTAAATGCTTGAAACATTTTTGCAGTGTTTGGGTCAAGGTACATACCTTGTTCACCAGTAGAAATTCTACTTGAGGTTGCACTTAAAGATCCACTTGAAGCTCCATCCAAAGTTCCATCAAAAAGTCCAAATTCATCTTTCTTGCCTTCTTGTGCCATCAATTCCAAATAACCACAAATATAATCCAATACCTTGCATTCCAAACTTTCACGTCAAATTCACCACATATATCATATTACGTGTTGTTTTGCTCAAGAATACACTGGGCATTTAGCTGTGGAAGGTGAGATTATGTTTCACAAGTAGTTAAGAAACCCTAATAGGTTTCATCCATGCGAGGAGAATATAATCTAAATTTCAATTAAAAAGTGCTTAAAACACTCTTCTTAGTAATCTTAACTATACATAAATCCCAATTACCTTATTACTTTCATATTTAAGCAATTTAGATTTTTCTTGTAAACCCCAATCCTAATCAATGAGCTTTAACAAGCTGTAACTTCCAATCTGACCGTCTACTTGATGCAAAATTTTTCATGCAATTGTCAATGCAAGTCTTTTAAATGCTCAAGAATTTTTAGCCCAATCCAACTTATAGATTGTGAAAAAACCTCCAAAAATTGCACCAATGATACTTGGCTGCCAACTTGAAAAGTGAAGCAAATATCCCCGCAATGCTTTCTCCTTCTCCAACCGTTAACTTTGTCTCAAAATTAGTGTGTAGCTTAATCTTCAAGTCTTCCAGCACCATGCCAATTTTCACCTTAATCTAACTGATAGATCTTCAAGTATCATAGAAACCCTATCCAACCTCAAACTGCCACCTTTCGAAATCCTCTTGAGCTAAAAACTAGATATCTCTAAATCACGCCATTAGATTATCACAAAACTTTGTATACACTTAGCAGTCCCAATAATCCAAATAATGTCAAATTTTTAATTGTAAATGTTACACCAATTGTACGAACTAGCTAAAATTGCTAGCCCTAATTATATTATGTAAAATCCAAATCACTGATACAAACACTGACTTTGAACAATAATTGCTAAGTCCTCCAAAACCCTCTCAAAACAATTCTTATCTCCCTGAAAAGAACTTCAAGCTAACTTTCAAACTCTAACCTCCGATCTTCAAATAAAATCCTATTTTGCCCTAGGCCATCATTTTAGTGGCCAGAGGTCTCATTTCGACCTTGTCTCACAAATGGTCGACCCCCAGGTATCAATCTATCCTATCCTAAAGATTTTTTAGCCCAATCCTACTTTTAACTTAATCCTAGTACCAACTATACTAATTATTTATCTCTTCTAATCTGATTTTATTAATTTATGGTCTTTCTAAGGTAGTAGAAGAGTTTCTATAATCTAAAAGATAAAATTACTACCTAACTAACCTTCAACCTACTAATTATTAAGATAAGAAAATAACCTAAGAGGCTTTTATAAAAGCCATGTTTAGATACCAAAAATTGTAATTAAACTAAGATAATTAGATATTAACTAGAAATCCAATCTTGATTATAATTTCACTATATAGTCATATTACATCAGGACATCGTGCACTCTAAACAGTTGGCTCTGGAGGTTATCAATCTGTCCCATGTTATAAATCTGCAACATTGAAAGAGCTGAATTTCGATTGACTGCTGTCATTCTCTCTGCAGCTAGTTTCTGAGTCTCTAACTTTTCTCTTTTTTTAGCAACTGCTTCAAATGAAGATTTCTTAGCGGCTTCGATGGCATGCTTTACATCCCGTTGAGCGATTTTCCACGTGTTCTGCCTCTTCCATCCTCCTGATACATCCGTTGTTCTGCATGTGACTTGACCTCTTTGGCCTCCTCTAAGTCTCTCCTCAGAGCGATAGACTGTGACTTAATGCCCTCTAATTCTTCTTGTACATGCTTTAGCTCTGATCGTAACCTCTCCGCCTCTTCACATTGATTTGATGTTTTGAATTCAAGCTCCTGCAAAGTAAGAAACAAATCTGTGAACAAAAATTCTCCAATTCTCACAAGTGCCAAGACCTCAAATTTTAGGAGCTATCGTTCTTCAACAACTTAGAAATACAGACAAAAGGCGAGGGTGCACTACAGATTCAGGTAAACAACGTCAATATCAAATTCAAGATAGAATTAGAAATTTTTTAATAGTTGGAACGATGCAAGTTCAGCCTTCAGTCTCTCGGTCTCAGGTCGCTGTGCTGATCCACCACCTTTAGACTCATAAACCGGATTATTCTTCCAATCCATAGTTACTGCAGAGTATCGAAAATCCTAAAATCACTCTCTGCTAATCACGTCGTTGGCAAACGTCATTCCAGCACTCCATCCTGCGGCATATACATAATAAATATAGAAAGCGGCCTCTAGCGCATCTATAGTTGTAAAATGTCCTAGACCGGGACTCTGGTGCCAGACTATCTAAATAATAAATACGTGAGTACCTGCGCATAAATTTGGAAAGCATAACATGCAAATTGCATCGAGAGGGAATGAATGCAACGTATGAGATACAAGAGAATCCCTAGCTTATAACTACCAAATGACTGGGCACTAATTGGAACTATTGTCGATCGAGGCCGCGCAAATTATCACTTAACGCAACAAGAAGCTACTATTGGAAAAAATAAAATGACAATGCAACAAAGCAGAACTAAGACCTTTCCATTGATATCAGTTCAATCGTCGTGCAAAGTTCAAACAACACATGCAACTGATGAAGACTCGAGAAACATCACCAAAGTACTTGAAAGGAGCACATAAAAGGAATTATCAAAAGAAGCAGCTCGATACTTACGAATCCAGTTATTCACTCATAGTCACGGATTCATAATGTCTGGCATAATTCAGGTGCTGAAGACCAGGACATACTAAGTAATAAAACGCTCTCTTCATTCTGATTCTTGTCAAAATTCACGATTCTAACAAATGCTCCTCTCGAGCCAAGATGAATACGTAATTGAAGTTCTAGGAACTCAAATAGCTCACGCAATACTTGGAAAAGAAACACTGCTACAACGAACTGATATTAGTTACTAGCGTTGCAGAAGCTCAATTCCAACTGCATCAGACTCATATAATTTTCACTAATGGTCACGTGCTCGTGCAAACAAGGCTCGCGAAGCAAACCGCTAAAAAAACTTCATGGAAACTCTGCAGAATCGGGAATACAAATTACTACCAGCACCTTGCGAGTTCAAACAATTTCACACTCTCTTTCAGTCCTGATTCATTGCAGTACAACCTCACCGTAACCAAATGACAAAAGAATTACAAACCAAGACGTACATAACGAATGGTCTCTAATCAACAATAACAAAATCTCACAACCTCTCTACAACAGCGTCATCTCTGGTAGAGCAAACTTGTACAAGCTCTCTTCTATAGCACTACTTCTCTTCCACTTAATATTAATGCAAAATCCTAAGCATGAAAAGACTTCTTCTCAGCATAGCTGCACACATATTACCTCTCTATAATCCAATTCAAAGCAGCAAGTGACCTCATAAATGAACTAGAACTTCACTTATCACATCGTATGTTGGATTCAAGAAACACACTCAGAGAGGGACCAAGAGACTCCGAAGTGCTAAAAAGCCCTGAAAAAGAGCATTCAGGAGAGATCCTTGAGCTTCAATTTTAATGGCTTCAAGGCAGAGAAAATTCCAGACAACGCTCCTTCAATCCTACGAGCATGCTCGTATGATGTAATGCATCATACGTGCAGTGAGCACAAAACGCAATGCTATCTCTCTCACTCAGCAAGAATACGAGTGGAATAGTTTAATGTCTAGGTGATACTCCTTTGATATTGATGTGTTATCGTGCCGATACTTGGGCTAATAGAGTGGACAGGGGTATGTACGACAACAGGCTTCCTGAAGGTTTCGGTGGCTGGAAGATGGCCGTCGGAGCAGAGATCAGAGGGGTGATAGCAACCGTGGATGATGAGTCGGGGCGTTGGCAGCCGTTCGATAGCGCGCTGGAGTGTATGGGGTCCGCGGAGGCGATTGAATTCTCCTGCAGCCACTATCATTCATCATGATGAATCGCACAAATCTTGTTCACACAGCATCATTGTTTGAATGGATGATGCTGTGTAAACATTGTGGTCTACCACGACTGTCTTTTCCATCCTCCATATTACAAGTGGTTTCTAATTTTGTGTGTTGCTGGATGTCATATGACAAGTAAAAAATTGCCATTGCCATCTTTATGATTTATACTACTATAAATGCTATGTTAGTACTAATATGGGTGATTGCCACTGAAGCACTTTTTTGAATCTCCGAGGCTTTTGAAGCCTTCAAGGCCTTCACAGTCTTTGGAGCCTTTGGATCAAATAACAATGCATTCTACTTTCCAATTTGAATGGCCTCTTTTTCAATAGTAATCTTGAGAGCCTCCAAAATATCATTAGTACTATCTTCTAAGATAATTGCAGCTCCCTTGCCGCTTAACTGTAGCTTTTTTTCTTCCTCCTCCATAATGAAATCTTTGGAAGGTATTCCAAATACCACAGTCCACTCTACAAATGAGGAAGCAAAGACTTCTTCACTTACACTAGGATGTAGATACAAAGAAGAGACCTTTGTTTTTTCATGCAAATAGATACATCAATAATACTTACAAAAATATAATATTCTTAAACACCAACTTTCTACATAAGTATTTGTAAAAGAAAATGAATAAAAATTTGCTAAAAATACATAAAGAAGATGAAAAAGAATAAGAAATTAGATATTAACTAGAAAACCACCGTTTGATGATCAGACCACCAATTGGTATATCTTCAAGAACGGAAGCTTTGATAAAAGCACTATTACCTTCGAAAAATGAGATGAATGCATTTTCTCAAAGTGTGATCCTCCACTACTCAATATAATCTCCAATCTTGAGAATCTAGAATTTGACATTCTAATGGATGTGATTCAAGTTGAAAGGCATCTCTTCAAACTCTTGAACTAATACATGTTTCAACTACAAGGATTGTAAAATGAGTGCATCATTAATCAAATAGAAAATAAGAAAAATAAAAAATAAAAAAAAAGTGAAAAGACTAATCTAGGCCCAAAAGGTAGTTTAAATGAGCCATTAGTCCAAAACTATTTTTTTATAGGTCTAATAGAAAAACATAACGATGAAGGAACAAAAATAGAAGAATTCTACCACTAGAGTCACCTCACTTTGAAGTTAGAATTCATGATATCAATTGCAATCTTCTGGATTTCTTTGAGTCATATCAGACTTTGTCACAATATTCCAATGCTTTGAAATTTGTACCAATTTTTTTCAATATTATAAAGAAGATAATAAAGAATATTGACATGATGGCATTACAAAAAACATAATTAATGTTAGTTATCAAATTTACTCATTAGTTATTTTAGGATAAAAATATATATTTAGATTACTTAAAACCACAATATATAGTGAGTAGTATAGAAATCCTTAGTCAAATAGAAAATCAGAATGTTAGTTGTAAAAATAGAGTCTTAATAAGTCTTGGAGGTAATTATCTTAGTTGATTTAATATTTTTACTTATTATTGAATATCAAGGATTATTTATTAAGATTAGTATTTATATTGGCCTTACATCTATATGTAGTACTTATAAATAAAATTATAAATATCAATTAATAGTTCAAAAAAACATGAAAAAAAACCTCATGTTTTTTTAGTTAGTTACATAAGAAATAGGATTTATAGTTGATTTAAATTGATTTTATCATTATAAAAAATAATAAAGTTAGAAAAATATAGCTCTATATTTATATTTATATTATAAAAAAATTATAGAAAATTTTAAATTTTATTTAGAATTTATTTTAAAAATTTAGACTTTGATAAGAATAAATTTTATTACCTTGGGATCCATTATGAAGAAATGGAGCAAGATTTGAAAGCCACGCAAGGTTTCTCTACTAATAGGGTATTTTTAAATACTATGATGAAGTCAAAAATGTAAAAATATTGATTTTATTAGTAGAAAATAGGAGGGCCAACAGCTAGTATAGTCCTTGTGAGAAAGGAGGTACACAAGTTCCATATGGATTGTAGCACCTTGAAGGTAGTTAGGAAGATAAGACTAAGGCCTTATGGCCTCTCTTAAACACCCATATATATTATTTATGAGTCTTGGTGAAGTTCAAACTCTTGATCTCTTAAGCAAGTTATCCTTGAGGTAAAAATTATTTACTTAATTTTTTTTTGTTTATCTTTTATCTTTAATCTTTCATAACTTATTTATAGTAATTTATATTTACATGTTTTTTATACTATTTAAAAGATAATAAAATTAAATTTCTAAAAATATATTTTTTACTTTTATTTTTTATTTTTTATTTTTTACTGGATAAAAATTTAGTGAATAGACTGTGACTAATTTTGTAGTGTACAATTGCTTGATTGCACTTGTTTCACTTGTTTTTGTGTTATGCTTCTTTTGTTCTTATTTTTTCTACTTCTACTTTATACCACCAATTACAAGCAACTCTTAATTGAGGCCATCTTGTAATTTGGATTGAGGGATAGAATTTACCTTCACATTTTGGTGCATTTTCTAGGAGGTGGTGCTTCTAATTGTGTGTGTAAATGTGAAGTGAGTTGATTTTAATTGACCTTTTATGTAGATTATTTGAGTGAGTATTTCAAATCTATTTTCTATCATTGGTAAGTCTTCTATCTTTCTTCATTTTTTTGTAAAAAAATCTCTTTTAATTATATAATCAAAAGATATTTTTTTTAAAAAAAAAAAAAAAAAAAAAAAACATTTCATTGTTAGGTAGAGAGTGATTTTCTCTCGGATTTTCATCAATCAGTTTTTATGTAATTGTTATTTCACTTTGGAACTTTGTAAAGTTGTGTATCTTGATGTTATCTTTTTAAAAAGCTATCACATGTTTGAATTGGACTAAAATTGAATTTTAAGTGAATTTTTGATTAAAAAGAGATTCACTGCCTTGGCAGTTTTGTATACTCCATGTTTGAAAAAACATTTCTTAGTGCTTGTTGACTATTTTAAATTGAATTACTTTGTAGTAGAAGCACCTGAAGGATAAACTTAGAATGGTGTAATTTTCATTAAAATTGCATCAATACTCAATTTTTGGTGATTTTTGAAGTGAAGAATAAGCTTGAAAGTTTTAAGGATTCATCATCAAGGGTGGAGCTCATCTTCAAGGATTCTCACTATCTTTCCTTGTAATTTTTCTAATTGAGGGTCTTTTTCTAGTAGTAGGGGGATTTAATCACTCCCTCCACCCCTCGTATCATTTTTTTTCATCTTTGTGAATTTTTAGTTGAAGGCTTTTCTCTAGTGGTAGGAAGATTTAATCACTTTCTCCACCCTTCATATCTCTTCTATTCACAAGAAGTAGTATAGTAGGAGCTTAACAAGAAATTCAAGAAAATTCTTCATCAACAAAGAAAGAAAAGACCAACAAGTTTAAATCATAAATCTAAGGTGAGTATAATTTTTAACAACTTTTATTGATTTTTAATTTATTTTGCTAATATAGATTGTGGTTTAAGGGGAAAGAGCTCAAAAAAAAAATGACATTAATAGTTCGCAAGCAAGTAAGTCTTTGAACCCTTGTCAATTATTTCTTTTTTTGAAATTTTAGCAAATAGCTTGAATATAAGAAGCGTGAGCTAGAAATTAGAGGGTAGAATCTAAGAGGAAGACATAAGAAGAAGTAACCTTCTAAACCTTCTTATAGTTTTTTTTCATATGAGATCAATAGAGCCTTAGAACCTTTTACTATCCCAATCCAAAAATAATTTTTCAAACCATTTAGTTCGAATCAAATACAGAGAAAATCACATTGGAAATTCTTTAACTAGTGTAAAGTTGACTAGAGATACAACCAGGTGAGTCCTTCTTCAAAGTGGTATAATTGTCTTGCAAAGAAAAAATTTTGTCTAATAAAAAATTGTTCTTAATTGTTGTAGTAGGTAATTTTTTAATAGTCTTGTTGTAAAAAGGCAAGAAAATAGAAGAGTTTGGGCTTTCTGCCATTTTGATATGGAATTCTTTTTGACAATTAAGATTGCTTAGGATCACTCCTACATACGGTAGTTCCATATAAAAATTAAAGTCGAGAATGGTCTTACTTGGAGTGATACTCAAGCAAACATTCTTCCTTTAATTGTTTTTGTTTTGTTTTTCTTCCCTATTAGAAGGTACTTTAAGTGGATTACATGTGAAAGAGCCAAAAACTAAATTATTATGAATTAATAGATGAAATTGCATTAAATTGAATGGTAAGTTGATTATCATGTAGATGCATTATTCTGCTAGATCTAAGCAACTCAACTTATCACCAACCATAGAAAATTCATAATCAAGTATTAAGAAAAATAAACCAAAGACCAAATAAGAAGAGATTCAAATTAAACAACCTGCACCTTGAATGTTAGAAGTTTTTTTTGTCCTAAATCTAATTAAAGAAAATCTAATTGATAAATTTAGAGAAAAAAGATTAAAATTTGATTCACCTAACTTATTTTTAGAAGTAAATCAAAAGAAAGAAGGATCAATACCTCTTTCTTTTCCAATAGAACGCAATAGAGAAACTAATCTCAATCTTATATTCATCAACTCCTTGGTTCAACCAAGTGATTTACTAGTTGTAATTCCTAAGGATTTTCAAGCAGCTTCTATGCCTTACAACCATCCTACATTTAAAAAGACTAGGAATAATGATCCATCAACACATGTGGAGAGGTTCATAGAACTTCTCACAACATGTTTAATTACCAACCTAGGTTATTACCATGTATAGTTTTCAAGCACCCTAAAAAATGAGA